GGCTAACATTCTCCTTCTCCCCTTCTCCTTCTTCTTCTTCCCGTGAACTATGGCGAACATTCTCCTTCTTCCCTTCTCCTTCTTCTTCTTCCCCTGAAGTATAGCTATGGCTAACATTCTCCTTCTCGCCTTCTCCTTCTTCTTCTTCCCGTGAACGGCTAACATTCTCCTTCTCCCCTTCTCCTTCTTCTTCTTCCCGTGAACTATGGCTAACATTCTCCTTCTCCCCTTCTCCTTCTTCTTCTTCCCATGAACTATGGCTAACATTCTCCTTCTTCCCTTCTCCTTATTCTTCTTCCCCTGAACTATAGCAAACATTCTCCGTCTCCCCTTCTCCTTCTTCTTCTTCCCGTGAACACATTCTTCTTCTCCTTCTCCTTCTCCTTCTCCTTCTTCTCCTTCTCCTTCTCCTTCTCCTTCTTCTTCTTGCCGTGAACTGTGGCAACATTCTCCTTCTCCTTCTCCTCCTTCTTCTTCTCTTCTTCCCCTGAACTATAGCAAACATTCTCCTTCTCCCCTTCTCCTTCTTCTTCTTCCCGTGAACACATTCTTCTTCTCCTTCTCCTTCTCCTTCTCCTTCTTCTCCTTCTCCTTCTCCTTCTTCTTCTTGCCGTGAACTATGGCAACATTCTCCTTCTCCTTCTCCTTCTCCTTCTTCTTGCCGTGAACTATGGCAACATTCTTCTTCTCCTTCTTCTTCTCCTTCTCCTTCTTGCCATTTATGGCAACATTCTTCTTCTCCTTCTTCTTCTCCTTCTCCTTCTTGCCTTCTTCTCTTCTTCTCCTTCTTCTTCTTCTTCTTGCCGTGAACTATGGCAACATTCTTGCCTTCTTCTCCTTCTCCTTCTCCTTCTCCTTCTTGCCGTGAACTATGGCAACATTCTCCTTCTCCTTCTCCTTCTTCTTCTTGCCGTGAAGAAGGAGAAGGAGAAGGAGAAGGAGAAGGAGAAGAAGAAGAAGGAGAAGGAGAAGGAGAAGAAGAAGAAGAATGTTAGAAGAAGGAGAAGGAGAAGGAGAATAGTTCACGGAAAGAAGGAAAAGGAGAAGGAGAAGGAGAAGGAGAATGTTGCCATAGTTCACGGCAAGAAGAAGAAGAAAAGGAGAAGGAGAAGGAGAAGGAGAATGTTAGCCATAGTTCACGGCAAGAAGAAGAAGAAAAGGAGAAGGAGAATGTTAGCCATAGTTCACGGCAAGAAGAAGAAGGAGAAGGAGAAGGAGAAGGAGAAGGAGAAGAAGAAGGAGAAGGAGAAGGAGAAGGAGAATGTTTGCCATAGTTCACGGCAAGAAGGAGAAGGAGAAGGAGAAGAAGAAGGAGAAAGAAATGTTTGCTAGTTCACAGGA